TCAGATTCCTAACTGCAGCTAGGGGCGTCGCCGCACGGCGCACAAAACGAAAAACGAAACGAGTGCATCTTCCGGCTGAAAATGGCCAGGTTCGTCAGTTTTCTATACATAGTAACGAGTGTAATTTTCCACCTTTCGTGGGCAGATGCACTCGTCTCGTTTTTGTTTTGTGTGTCGTGCGGCGAGGCCCTAAATCAATACAAACTCGGGTGCAGACCTGGCAATTATTTGAGCTGGCCGTTGGGATCTGGACCTGGCCGTTTTCCAAGTTACACGGTGATCATCAGTTTTATTCGAATAGTAAGGCGATCTGCACCTGGCCTTAGTATTAAAAAAAAAAAAAAAAAAAAAGGAGAGTCGCGACTTTGAGCTGCAGTTCAGTCATGTCATGAGATGAAGAGAAATGGAAGCAAGCACGTGTTGCATGAACTGTTGACAAGAAGACCTGCGCTCGAATCCTGCTGGGATCAAATGAGTAAAGTAACTCTGCATGAAAAAAGAAGTGGAAGGCCCTGTCGTGGTGGAGTGGGGTTACGGCATCGAAGTTTCGATGCGCGATGTGTGCTGTCAGTCTTCACCTGAGTACGGTGCCCGCGAGGCAAGTAGAGACTAAGGGTCTCGCTGGACGGTATGAAAATCGAAACGAATCGGAACGAACTTGGAACTCGCGAGGTTTCGCGAGACCGATCACCGTTTTGTTTCGTTTTTTGCACCACCGCCGCACAACACACGCGAAATCACTCGCGGGGATGGCCTGAAGAGTTCGTGCGAGGCCTGGCATGTGGAAATGTGTGGAAATGTCCGAAATTTTGGACGGACACTCTTTGGAACGACGTGGTGCACTCGCGCGGATTCGCAGCTCCACCACCAGACCTCCGGAATACCTGCGAGTTCGCGCGAGTTAAAGGCAGGGGGAAGGCAACTGCAAGTGAGACACTCACGAACTTGGAGTCTGACACAAGTCGCGAGTTTTGACTGACAGGATTCGCGGGAGTTCCGTGTGCCATACCGTCCGGCGAGGCCCTAAGTTGCCTACCTTCTTCTCGCAAAGAAGACGTACGGTCGTGATTTCGATACCCGTACGTTTATTCGGGTGAGGAAGATAGAAGATTTGCAGGAGGTCTACAAACTGTCCCCGCATGATAAGGACTCAGGAGAGACTAAGGGCCTCGTCACACCACTCTCGAAGTGTGCAAACGACAAAAATGTGGCGGGTGCATCTGGCCAGGTTCTAGCGGGAAGTTCATTGTCATTTTGCACATTTCGAGAGTGGTGTGCCGATGCCCTAAGTTCGCTAGAGGATGTGCAGGATGTCTGTGTACCATGGACATCGCAGAGAATTCTCAGCCGAAGCTTATTTACCGGGTAATGGCCCCGGTAAATAATGCTCTAAGTCCCCTACAGAGAAGTTTATTTACCGGGTAATGGCCCCGGTAAATAATGCTCTAAGTCCCCTACAGAGAAGTTTATTTACCGGGTAATGGCCCCGGTAAATAATAATAATAATAAGGGGAAACTACACGGGAGTTGCGAAAATGAGTTATAATTGCGCTACGGGCCAAGATACTGTTTCGAATTGCACTTCGGGCAGTGCACTGCATACAACCCAGCTTTCTGCCCAACTAGGGTGCCCGAAGTGCCATTGCAAACCCTATCTTGCCCCATGATAGTGCAATTATAACTCCTTTTTTTTGTGACTCTACTGAAGTTACCCCTAATAATAATGATGGACATGGCAGAGCCTGAGGGTGAAAGCAGGTGACAATTTGGTTAAACCAGACAGTACATAGAGACTTCCGTTCGCTGAAGCAGATTCCTCCCCTGCGTGCCCAAAAAAAAAAACCGGCACAGGCCCTTTTGTGGCTGGTGCATCCAGCCATTTTGCTCTTTTTTTTTTTTTTTTTTTTTTTTTTGGAGGATCAAGGTTCCAATCTATTCGTGGGAAGCAGCACGTGCTGGGAACCGGGCCCAGCGTCCCATATAGAAATTACATAGAATTTTGAAAGTTTGAGATACTGGGGCCATTAACCGTCTTTGGCTAAGAAAAATTTGAACTACTTAGAAACTTACTACGACAAACTTCAGAAATAGGCAAAATTCAGAAAGCGACACAGAAACCCCCCATCAGTCTTTTTTTGCCTCACTCCGGCAGGACTTACTGCAGCAGAGCCACCATCTCCGCTGCTGCTGTACCCTATTTCCATCCTACGAGCTAGCCCCCTCACTAGTAGGACACTTGATATCCCACCTTCTACTTCTCCCACTCACCTCTTTTTTTTTTTTTTTTACCAGAACAGTCCAGCCTCCGTCATCGAAAGGACGAACCTTAAGCTGATCCAGGTGGAGTTAGTGGTCAGTGGCCGGTACCCGCCGAGATACTCGGCACCAATCGCATCCACCCCTACTTCCTCCATCCAAATCACATCCGCCTTCACAAACTCCGTCATCGTAAAGAAATCCAGAGGACCTCATTTTAGCAGGGGGCGAGCACCATCATCACCCTGAAATTCCTTGGCCCCACAAGAATTCCAATCTCCGTTCTCAAGGAGGTGGACCAGCGCTACCCAACGCCAATTGCGCCAAAGTTCGCCTTCATCAGCCGGTACCCATCAGACAGCCTAAACTATCCAACGCCAATCGCATTTGTTAAGAGCTCCCCCTAGCCGGTACCCGTCAAGCAGTCCTATTCCATTCCCCTCTTCTTCCTTGCGAAGAATCACTTCATGCCCCTTGCCCCCTACTTCAAAACAAATCCCCCAAAAAACTATAGGATGCTCCACTTGGCTATCCCATAGGGCCCCTGTTGAAAACTTTAACCTCTTGGAAAAAAGGAAATCCTAAAGGAGTAGAAAAAGATCTTGAAACTACCCTCCCGCTCTCTCCACAACACAGAGGGGAAAGGAGAAGGCAACACCTCTCCGCTGTGAAGAGAATTAGCATTGCCCTCATTCTTACCAAATTCCCTCACCCTCCTATCCTTGAGCTGTCCCTGTCGAGAGGAGCCCCCTTCTCCTTAATGACCCCAACTTAGGACAAGCCCCCTAACAGACCACCGCTCCCTAAAAACAAGCAGTTCCCACCAAAAGCCTGTCCCTGCAGAATGATGGTCCCGTAGCCCCTCTCCCAACCCTCTCCATGTTGGAAAAGTCCCCCGAGGACAACCCTAAAACCACCTTCTGCCCCTCCACCCCTTCTCTCCACGACGCAGAGGGGAAAAGAGAGGACAACACCTCTCCATTGTGCAGAGAAACAAATTTGCCCTCACTTTTAATCAGAAAAAACCTTCCCTCCTGTCCTTGAGTTGCCCTCATCAAGGGGCGACCCGTTCCCCTTATTGACCCCAGCTCAAGACAAGCCCCTTAGCGAACCACCACTCCCTCAAGAACGAGCAGTTCCCACCAAAAGCTAGTCCCCGCAAAACAGTGGTTCCCCCAACCTCCATCCCAACCCTCTCCATATGGGGCGCCCCCCTAAGGACAAACCTAAAAAACCACCTCCCATCACCAAACGAAAATTAGAATCATCTACTCCTTTACAAGCTAATTTTGAACCGAAATTGAGAAATGAAATTTATCCAATTAATTACACGGAAACAAGAAATTCAAAACCAAAGGACCTACCTCTTGGATTTTGACCTCAAATCGAAAATTCAGAAAATCAATCAAAAAATTCTTTCAAAAAAAGGAAATCAATTAGAAAAGGATTTAGACATGTGCATTTAAAGAAAACCATTCGGATTTGGGTTTAGATACCCAAAAAGGATTTTCAAAAATAGAATCTCAAACCTCAGTTTGACTCAAACCTCAGTTTGAGAAGCATTTAGCATAAGACATACGAATTTCAGAATTATGGATTTATCTAGGACGATCAACCATAAGAATCTATCAACAGAAAATCAAACGAGATTGAGCTAAAATTTAAAAATTACTTTTAAGAAATTAGAGGTGCCCAACCTCTGATTTTACGAATCTCGGGCTAAGAGTATTCCCCAGGAGATAATTCAGCAACAAAACATACGACTGTCGACACGGCTAACGATATGAAAT